ACAATCCAACACCATCAACCCCTTCAGGTGGAGGCCACAATCCAACACCATCGACCCCTTCAGGTGGAAATTGTGGGACCCCACCAAGTGTTCCTACTCCATCAATACCATCAAACCCTCCTCGAGGTGGTGGATACTACCCCACCCCTCCGACCACTGGAGGCAGCCCCCCAACACCAGTCATTGTAAGCCCACCAACCACCCCAAGTATCATTCCAGGCACCCCTTTCACCCCCACGCCTCCTTTCATTCCTGATCCTAATTCACCCTTCTCATGCAAGTAGGTTTCTACTATTCACCTCGAATCTAAACTATATGAAATAGGTTAAATATATACATCTATCATCATGCAGTGCCCATATATTAACAACTAACAACCGACACGTATGTTTTTTTTTCCTTATAGTTACTGGAGAACTCACCCTGCGCTAATATGGGGTGTTTTGGGCTGGTGGGGAACAATGGGAAACGCATTTGGTGTTGGTAGCTTGCCAGGATTTGGAACGAGTATGACCGTGCAGCAAGCACTTTCAAACACACGTACTGATGGGTACGGAACACTCTACCGAGAAGGTACTGCTTCCTTGCTCAACTCCATGGTAAGCAACAGGTTCCCTTTCACAACCACGCAAGTCAGGGAGAATTTCATTTCTGCACTCGCCTCCAACAAGGCTGCAAGAGCCCAGGGACATCTCTTCAAGCTGGCCAATGAGGGCAGACTCAAGCCTAGAGCCTGATAAGAGACGATCTTTTGTTTATGTTCACTGTTCAGTTGGTGGAAATCATAATTAATTAGTATATCTTTTGTGGTGTGCGCTTTTTAATGGGGTTCTTATTTGACCTCGTGTCTTATAATGATCAACGTTGATGTCATATTATATTCAAGGATAGAAACTATGTTGACATTTGAACGCTTAAGTTGATGTTTTCTTATTTAGTCTTAAATAAGATCCATGGTTCAAATTCAATTCCATTTCTGTTGTCAATAAAAATGTGCTACTGTGTTAGCAGTGCATAGGCTTCTGACACAGATTTTTATAATAAAAGCACAAAAAGAGGGTCTGCGACTCCAAATACACAAGAAGTATCCATACAAATACAGGAGATCAGCATAAGAAAGATGCTGCATCATAGCTGGAACTTGCAGAAAAATACAAGCTTCAGTTTGTCAAAATCCCAATATGGATTTTATATATCCTTAATAATAACAATATATATATATATATATAAAAAAAACATCTCCATGGCTTAGTTGTCAGTCTAAGAAATGGCAGCAAACGAGGCAAGCTAGGTTAGTACCAGAGAGTAAATGGGAATTGAATGGGCTTTATGTAAGGCAGCAAGCAGTGCGGAAAAACACTTACTGCAGAGCACAGCTGTAGGAATTAACTCAACCCTACTTATTTATGAGAAATCTGAACATGCAGGTATAAGGCTGTCAAAGGAATCCAAGATGAACGGGCACCAAAGCCAACATACATACAGGCCTGTGATTATCGTTGTTAAATCATGATAAGGTGATCTAAAATGTATCGAACAACATCTAGAGGAAGATTTGTGCCTCGGCTTAAGATGACCAGAAGAGCGTTTTATGAACACAAATATCAAGAAACAATGGACGATAGGTGAGAAGAAAAGACTTTAATTAGTATTTTTTTCTAACGAATAACCAATTTAATTTATTTCTTCCTTCCTTCATTGTTTCTTGATGTATGAACAGTTGAACACTGAGCACTGACTCTGTGGTGTTACCGACAAGAAGTACTTAAAATATGCAAAATCTTGGAATCTAGAACAGGTTGTCAAATCTGTCTAGGTTTCACTCGTCCTTCCTCTTTGCAATCAACAAACAAATGATTCAGCAGTTCTAAAGTCGGTTAAGTTCCCCCTCACTGTACAGAGGACACCAAAATTTGGTGCTTGAACTATGACTTAAAATGACAGCAATGGCTTTGTACATATATGTGATAAAGATTGATGATTTAGCAGATGTCGGATCATGATATGAGCTGCGACATATAATTTGTCTGTAATAACAGTACCTACCTAGAATCATCAAAATTCCCATGCCAAATGCAATGAATATCACTTAAATTTCATTATCACCTAATTGATGTATGAATAAGAGAAGAAGAGAAGGTATTGCTGTGTTTTGGGCTTTTGTTAGCTATACATTTACAAATGAAAAAGATTTTAACAGAACAGAACAGCTATTGCCGTGTAAAGGTAGTTCCCTTTAGGCGCATTAATTCAGTTGCAGTTCTGTCAGAAGAGAAAAAAAGCCTTTTTTTTTAAAAAAAAACTCTTGATCTGTTCAACTTTACATAAAACTACTAACAAATTGGCAGAGGGCCAGATGGCTTAAGTTAGAGTAACAATAAATGCATACCGACAGAACAAAATAAAGGAAGGAAAACATAAATTTTGAGAGGTATGATCTCAGGACAAGAGCAGTTGCTGCTTTTCCTTGTGGTATCTAACGAAAATATTCCAACAGGCAAGTAGTTGAGAAGGAAACTTAGAAAAATGGGTTAAAATTATAGCTCAAGTGTTTAGAATGAGAAGAATCACGGCTTGAAAATTATACAAACAAAAATATCAACCAAAAACTACCGGTCAGATAATTACTATGACATTTATCTATTCTTTAATAACCAATAATATAATTAAAATATTTAAAATAAATGGATAAATAAAAAAATTTACAAAGTCATTTTAATATGGTTTAACAAATCTACATCCATGTCTCAAAAATCAAATTATACTTAAATAATGTATTTTTTCACTAGTTCAATGATCAAAATCTCCACCAAGCTTTGTGTGCTCATGATAAATTGGATTAGTAATAATCTGAATAATATTATTGTTACCAGCATGGAGAAGGGTGGGATCCAATCAGCCCCTCGAGACCGAGATCTAAACTATTTAGTTTTTTTTCTTCGTGATTGGATAAGCTTAGAATGCTTCATAAATCTTGATATGTTATTACTTTGGTATCCAAGCCATCGAGCTCTAAATCTAAAAATATCATTTTAGTATAAATAACTTGTTTTTAATAGGACATAAAAGATGAACTTAGATTGAAGTGTGAAAGTTAATCCAATGATTGTTTTATTTAAAAACATGAACAAAATATTACTTCCGTTAAAAAAAAATAATAACACTATTTCTATATAGCTATGCACCCATTTATGAAGTTTATTGTCATGTGTAAAAAAAAAAAAAACGCTAGTAAGCTATCTCAAACTATTTTTTGATAAGGTATATTATAATTTATAAAAAGATTAGAGTTTTATTGCAGTTTACTGTAGCCTCGGTCTCATTTGCAATGTTAAATTTACAATATCATTTTTATTTTTTTTACTTTTCATAAGACCGAAAAAAGTAATTTTTTTTGGTTTTATCATATTTAGTCCATTTAGTTTTAGGTGTTTAGAATTTGATTTTAAAATTTATATTCTTCAGTTTTTTTAAAAATCTATAAGAGAGTCATGGAAAAGAAAAAAAAAGGGATTTGGGGCCACATTATGATCATAAAAGAAAAGAATGATATTGTTATAATTGGGTTAGATTTGGAGAGGAAGTTTAATGGGTTAGAAAAAGAATGGTTTCGTTCATTTGATTTTTTTATTTGATTTGATTTTAAATTTTTAGACTAATTAGATTGTGTTTTCGAGTTGAAAATAAGATTATTGAAATTTATATAATTTTTTGAATTTTTTAAATAAAAAATAAAAATAAAACATTGAAATAATTAAAATTTGTTTTTGTGGATGACTGGTCACTTGTCCAAGTAGATAACATCCATTTGTATGTTCATTTTGTTTTTTTTAAAAAAAACACCATAACAGGAGCCGAGCCTCCCATGCCTAGGAGTGTATGGGCCTTTTACTTTGAGACCAGGCAAGTGAGCCAATTCTTCCGGTCTCAGGCGCCCCTGACTTTTTTTAATGGCACCTCAACTACTTTTTTTGTTTTGTTTTTTCTTTTAAAATGTATTTTTAAATAAAGATAAATAAAATAATATTTAAAAATTATCTAATTATTCCATAGTTTTCAAATAAAATTAGAGATCTTTATATTAATATTAATAATTATTTTATGAATAGTTGTATATAAAATTAATATGCACAATAAATGTTCAATGAAAATAAAATATTTATTTTGTTATATTTTACTGTTAATTTATTTATATAATTCTATCAAATCAATTACTATTTATTTTTTATACAATTTTTTAATGATTTTGTTTTTATTTCTTGATTGAAATTTTCTTTTCAAATCATGATATGTTTTTATTTTAAAAAATATTTTTGATAAAAAACATTTTTTCAAGATAAAAAAATTACATAGACAAGGAAATGGAATTTTAATTAAAGAGATATAAAATTTTTTCTCTTTAATTCAAATTATTGGAAATGTTTACAATATTTAATTTGATTGCTCCTAACTTTTATTCAAAAATCATGCTGCCAATAAAAAATGACGTATTTTTATTAAATTTTAAAAAATGAATAAAAAAGATATTTTTAGCTAAAAAATACCTTTATTGTTGTGAATATGAATTTTAATTGCTACACTTTAAATTAAAATAAATTTCGAAAAAGCATCACGAGGGAATCCACTGGCTAGTTATATCTCCATAAATTTGATGGGTCACATCACACTTTTGTGGGAGTAAATGAGGCCATGAAGTATGTTGGGATGTAAATGTGCTGGTATTTAAAAATATATAAAAATAATATTTATTTATTTTTAAAATAAAAAATAAAAAATTATTTTTAAAACACATCAACAAATGTGGTTGAAAAAATCCACCTCATATTTTTTTAAAATTATTTTTAAAACACATAAACAAATGCGGTTTCAAAAATCCACCTAATTACATGCGACGAAGTAATTTCTTACACTAGTTTTTGTAGGACTCCAAAAAATAATATTGTCTGGTAAAAGGTCACTTTCTCGTCTTCCTGGTTTTGGCCACCGAAAGAGAGCATTCGGAGTGGGCAGAACGAGGAAAAACTACCAAGCATAAAACAATTAGATAGGACGTGTTTTTCTGTGATAAATTTCTAATGTGATCTTAGGAGTTAGATACATACATGTAACCAATAAAAAATACTATGTGCTATCATTTATTTGTCTATAAATTTTAAAAATATTTAAATTATTTTATTTTTTTTCTTTAAATTAATTTTTTAATATTTTTAGATTGTTTTGATATTTTAATGTTAAAAATAAAAAATATTATTTTAATATATTTCCAAACAAAAAACATCTTAAAAATAATTGTTAATATACATATTATTATAGCTTTGATAAATAAGGATGTTAGTAAAACCAGGAATATAGGAGAATACTCCTTTAACTTCGTCAAATCTTCGATTGCTCGAGGCGCCGGATTAATGTCACGATGCATTTAATCTTCGTAATATATAGCATGTCTGCTCTAACAGTCATCTACGAGATCATTACGTGCGGGCATGGCTTAGAATTGAATGAGTCAAAAAAATGAAGTGCTCACATCAGAGGAGCTCGCTAGCTACAGCCTCCGATGAGTTGCAAAACGGTAAAATATTGCCGGTTTGGTAAAACATTTTTTTGGAGATACTGCAAATAGAGCCATTACTATGCCCATTAAAGCAGTCAATATCAAAAGAAATGAATAAATTGATGCTTTCATAAACTAAATAATAGTTTACAATTACAGCTTGCATGACTGTTTAATTAGAGCATTCCTGGATTAAAAAAGAAAAGAAAAGAAATATAAGAAATCAAAGCAAAATAAGTCAACAATTCAAATCATTATGTCCCGAGTACTAAATGTCAAATTAAAAAAAATAGAGATAAAAAATCATAAATTAATGTTGTAAAAACTACTTGTTTCTTGGATCTCCAAGTTTTTGAAATTCTCCAAATTCCATCCAAGCACCTAAATATGAATCAATACCATAAAAAAAATCTATGAAAAAT